TTTGCAAAAATTGTATGCTTGATCAAATTCTGCCACTCCATTCTTATTCATTTCAGTGCAAGACACAGAATTTTCAGAGACGGGTTCATCCAAAAAGAGAAGATATTGTGAAGCGAATGCATACTTCTCGGTGAATCTCCGTTGAGGTTTGTGTCGATCAATTAGACTGGAGTGAAATCGTCAAAGAGAGAAAAAACCTTATTTCTTCATGTGCTCCAAATCGAACTGCTCACATCCTTCACCTCGCCTTACCTCAGTTTTGTACATATATCTTGCAATGCAAATTATGAATGAAAAACTATTGAATCATTCTTCAATCTTGAGGCCTGGAAGCATTGTTTATAACAAGGATGAGGCTAATATTTGATGCGGCCCAAAAGTGAAGATGGTATAGCCCTGGTGGACAAGTTAGCCGTCAAAGAGTGCGAATATTCATACAAATATGGATATCTCTCATGTTAAAATTCATCCTTTGGTTTGATTTGTGCACCTCATTGCAATTGCAGATAAATTGAACTACTTCCCTATGGCTTGAATCAAGTAGTATACTCGTTGACCCTTACTCTCAAAGATCTGGTGATTGCTCCTTTGAAGAACAGATTCATAATCTTTTGGTTACGTCCTTTGATTCTATCTTGACCGTTTGCTTCGGCACTAGCCCCACTTTAAGCGTAATGGATTGCGGATCGCCAATTTCTCACCAAGACGGCGCTATTATAAAAAATCATCACTTCATATGGAAATAACCAAAGTATTTTCCTCCTGACTAGACTCACCTTCGACCTCGATCCCCGTAGTAGTGAGGGTAGATGCGTGGAAATTTGTCCGCAAGATGTTTCTCTTTCTGAGCTAGTGCTTGCTTCCTTATTGAACACAGACTTCGCAATTCTAACGTGAAAATTAGTATTTTCCTTATGATTTGGGAGTTAGTGCTCTCTCTCTCGTTATCGATCCCTTCTGTGCTCTCGCTCGAGCCTCTCAAATTAGACTTAGGATGAGATTTCCCCGGAATGATTTGACACACTTGCAAACTAATGCCTACCAAATGCAATAATTTTTTTACAACATAATGAGATTCCACGTGTCCGGGATTGAGTAGGCAAATGTCTACGGATATTAAAAAAAACAAAATTCAAGGACGGCTAAATTTCTTCATGTGCGGACTACTTATCCTGTACGCCTCGAAAACACAAAAGCTAGTTGTCGTCAAAAGTATAAGAATTTCGATCACAATTTTTTATTATCGCGTCAAACTACAGCTTTTCTCTTCTCGACGTTTTTATTCTCGTTTTAAGAAAATCCAAACTCAAACGTCCAACCTTTCTTTGACGGAACACATTGCTGGGGATAAAGTTGGGGTAGGAGAGTCTGATCACATCTTGCACATTTCCCACATCTGTCCTCAAGTAACCTATGTTGCAAACCTCTTCATCCTCATCAGCTGCCATTCCGCAAGATGATGCCCTCGTCCGGAATTTGGACATCGGCAATGTGCCACGTCCTGTCAGCGACACTACAGTACTCACCTTCCAACTGCTCTATACGCACAGCATGCTCCAAATTATTATTATCTTCAATAACCGCGTCAAACTACAGCCTTTCTCTTCTCGACGTTTTTATTCTCTCTAAGAGAATCCAAACTCAAACGTCCAACCTTTCTTTGACGGAACACATTGCTGGGGATAAAGTTGGGGTAGGAAAGTCTGATCACATCTTGCACATTTCCCGCATCTTTCCTCGAGTAACCTATGTTGCAAACCTCTTCATCCTCATCAGCTGCCATTCCGCAAGATGATGCCCTCGTCCGGAATTTGGACATCCGCAATGTAACACGTCCTCTCCGCGACACTACTCACCTTCCAACTGCTCTATACGCACAGCATGCTCCAAATTATTATTATTTTCAATAACCGCGTCAAACTACAGCTTTTCTCTTCTCGACGTTTTTTTTCTCTCTAAGAGAATCCAAACTCAAACGTCCAACCTTTCTTTGACGGAACACATTGCTGGGGATAAAGCTGGGGTAGGAGAGTCTGATCACATCTTGCACATTTCCCGCATCTTTCCTCAAGTAACTTATGTTGCAAACCTCTTCATCCTCATCAGCTGCCATTCCGCAAGATGATGCCCTCGTCCAGAATTTGGACATGGGCAATGTGCCACGTCCTGTCCGCGACACTACTCAACTTCCAACTGCTCTATACGCACAGCATGCTCCAAAAAAAGTTTGTCATGCTCTAGTACTAGTTGTTTTAGAAATCCCACATGCAACTTAGAGTCACTCGCACACGTCAGGGAAACAATTTAGATTAAACTGATAAAACATAGAAGTGTCACCAAGAAACTTTTGCTAGCACTTTTTATAATGACAGTGTTCTAGAGATTTAATATCTAGTAACTACCTGCATCCTAAACTATCAAATATGGATTTAGGAACCTTGTTAACTTCTAGCACAAATTGATATTTGGACTTTTTATTTTATTTTATTTTTATTTTATTTTTAATATATTTCATTGGAACTATATTGATAACATCAATACTTATGCTGTATATTTCTTCCCAAAATTTGAGTCTGTGTGAAAGAAGTTTTATATTTCCTAGTTCGTTATTTTGATAAATTTTAAAAATATTCTTATATGAAGGTAAATATTAAAAAATAAATTCTTTAGTCTTTTACCTCAAATTTCTCATTTCTATAAAATTATTTCCATTATTTTTTATAAATAACATGCATTTAAGTTTTTTTCCTCTGAAATTTTCCATTAATTTTAAGTTAAGATTATAGACATGAAGTTCAGAGAAATGTATGAAGGAATAAGATACGCTATGTAAACAAACTGACAAAATATCAAAATATTGGTAAAGATCATATCATTATATAGTATAAACTATATTCTATATGTGATATGATTTTGAATAATACTTTATTTGTTTATTTAATTATTTAAAATCATTTTCAACTAGAAAAGTAAACAAAATATGTATATGTGATCTATTTTTTACTTTGAGAATTGAAAATGTCATACTATATAATATGCAATCATAACCAAATTACTTTTTGTGAAAAGAGAGAATTCAGATTGGCTTTTATATATTTGATTAACCATTTTCGTTATAGATTGATATCATTTGGTGTGGCATTCCATCCGCTTGCATCATATCCAAGTTACTAGATATGCAAAACATTACTTTTGTCAAATTTCATCTTTTCAATGAAAAAAAAATTTGGGTTACATTTTTTTTACCTAACATGACATGCAAGATAAAAGATATATTATCTTTACATTCTGTTGTATATATATATATATATATATATATTTCATGTGTAGATTAGTATGAATGTTATATATTTTATGTCTTAAAAATGATATCAACTTTATAAAATGTAAATTTCATTGTATGATTTTCAACTATTAATCATATACATGTATGATAGCTTGATTAAATTTACTATAGGAAGACAAAAGATAATATATTTCAAAAAATTTCGAACTTGACAGTGTTCAAAAACATTAAGCAGCAAAAATTATTAAGACATTTATGCTCAGAGTAAGTATCAAACCTGGAGCAACATTTTTGCTCATAGTTCGTATATACTTGTCATGGTTGAAAATTGAAGGTGTTATATAAATACTTCTAAAGTTTTCTACATGATCATGTTATGCAATTTTCAAAATCTTGAAAAGTTCAGCTTGAAGAAGTTGAGTCGACAAGCAGTATTGAGACATGCTAGCAGAAAAGAATGAGTGCAAATCTAACTCTCTTCATCCCAACCAAGAGTCAGAAAGGAAATATTATGTGGTAAAACCATTAGTGAGTCATTTGATGCATGCACAAAATCTGTTTATGAGCTTTCCAATCTTTAGACCGATATTGAATTGCAAATTTGTGTTCTTTCCTTTTCAGTTGTCTGGATGAAAGAACTAATTAAGAATCAATTTGAAGTTGAGAACTGATTTGTTTCGAATATCCAAACATACCAGAAAGCACTAAATGAAGATTGAGTCCTAAAAGATACTGCACTTGCTGCAAGCAAAATATGAGCTGCAAGCATCAAAATCTATCCTTAGTAATCACGTGAACACAACCTTCAACAACACTTCTCAATTTCGGTCTTTGACTTAGTTGTGATCCTATTTAGAATTTGATAATTACCAGACTCAATGTAACATCTGCAAATGTTACATTGTAGTGAGGTTTAACTGGTAAAGTGCTGTTAGCGACTTTATAGTACAGCATGAAATCGTTAACACTTACAGTATTTGTTATTAATTTGTGATCCCTAGTCAGTGCAGGGCGTTACACCTACTCTTAACAAATCTCGAGACTTGTAGAAAAAAGGTGCTGCACATCCACATAGCATCTAAGCGGGTGACAGAATTGAGACCTGACAATTCCATGTCCGCCAGTCGTGGAATTATTCGGGAAAGACTCTAGGGCTTTATGCATGAGAGTAAACATCAATGAAGATATTCTGACGAAACATACCTCACTACCAAACAAAGCCTCTCGCTGGCTTCGACTCCGTCACATTCCCATTTCAACGTTAGAATGACCTGTTACTCCATTTAGTCTTTTAACCAACTTGCAATGAATCCTTAGGTTGGCAATACATCGGAGATTGGCAGCTGCCTTAAATCTGTTCCCTATGAGTGTCCAGCCTTGTCTGCGCAATTCCCTCACATCTTACAGCTACTAACATTGCAGCTTCCATCAAATCAATGGAGTGAGTTTCGTTTGGATACAGCGAGACGTCACAGCACTGGTTTTAGTGTGGAAAGAACGAGATGGTAGAACTAGAGGATCTTGTTTACACTACAGAGCATTCAGAATATCACTCAGAAACATTATGAATTCTCAACCGTTCCTGCTGTGTCATAGCAAAGACAAAGGTTTTCGCTCCTAGTTTTCCATGTTATGTTATGGACTCTTGTCAGAAAAGTGTCCATGACAAAGAGAGCTGGGACGAAGAGATTTGGGAAGTAACGTAATCACTTACCAAAAATGAGAACGTCCAGGATGGAGGTAGTTTGTCGATGGTGACCAGCTCTGAATGAGATCCCAACAGTGGTGGCCAATCCCTCGGACAGCGTGAGAGAGTTTTCAATCTTGTGCCGCCGATTGCATCAACTTCAAGACTTGATTCCAGACACGTCTATGATGAACAATGGTTTTGTGAGTCCTTTCTTGCGACGTGACCTGCCTTCACAGCAGAGGCAAACATTTTACTTCAAATTTGTACCCAGACCAGACCATAACCATCAGCAGCGACCTATGCCCACCCATGCTCCTCGTATTCAAAAATTGTGTAATATGTATTACCCGTCTACACCAAGTCTTGGTTGGATCTGACAAACAAAAGGTCGTTCACTGTTGTTGGCTTTAGCCCGGAGTGCTTCTTGGTTAGCGTATTCCCTACATCCGAGAAGCTTGACTCCGATTTGGAGCTGGATGCGGGGAAGTAATTTACACATTCATCGCTCGAAGTTTTTCACACTGGGAGTCCGCTGCTGAAATTTCTAGCGTTTGTTGGGGTAACAATAGTTTTTCCCTCTGTCAAGAGCAAATCCTCGTGAAGCTAGAACCTAGTAGTAGAACGGCAAAGTAGTACATTCCCGTCGTAAGTCTCAGTCTGCTCGTCAGAATTTGCTCGATTTTGACGTTCACGTCATGGTTAAGCTTGTAGTCTTCCAACTGTCAAGGTGTCGTGTACTTCGTGGAGAGCTTGGAAAAGAGATGGCTAAGGTTCGTTTCGTCTACTATCTCATTGGCACTCGTTATTTATCTCTCCGTTGAATATTTAACGAGCTATCACTGACGTGATATAATGAGCTATCACTCACTGACGTGTCCAGGTCTCAAGCAGTATTGATGGGCATGTGTTCCGTACCCATTTGGAACCCATCCAAACCCACCAGGAAACAATAACCACCCATGCCCACCCATGGAAAATAGTGTCACCCAAAACCCATGGGCATGGGCACCCAATGTTGGGCTCTGCTTCACAGAGAACTTCAAGTGGCAAAGTCTTCATGTTCCTTCCATCTAAGGTAGTTGTACCATCCAAGTGCTGCTGCCATGTCTCCTACATATTTCTACAGCTTGAGTACGCCAGCCATCAAAATGAGAAAAGTCCCATACGGAAACGACTGCCCTCATAAACATCCCCATTCACTTTCACTTTCACTTCCGTGTGCACTCGTCATCAGCCAGAAAATGTGCTCTGAATGTTCTGTTCTGCAGTCTCTTTCTTTCCTCAGGACTCTGAGAATGTTCATCTTATGCCAACAGCGACAAACTGTCCTGGTCATGCACCCCTAGCTTGCCCAGCTTACTGTAACAACTTGAAATATCTAGCCTCTGCATATGACCTTCTCGTGTCCGATACACACCTGTTCTTTCACAGTCGAGACACCATGCCTTCTGTGAGGGTCGAACTTGTGCTTTCCCGAGTTTTGTCCCTCTGATCTCCAAACTTCTCTTCCGGCTCGTAATGTGCGTGATGAGCGCTTCTCAAATTACTATCCAAAACAGCTGTAAAGAGACGGACCTCATCATACACCTCTGTCAGATCAGCACTCTCGTTTTCACATGCTGGCAGAACAAGGATTTAGCACTCTACATTCAGTAGACAACGTCAAGACTATGCACTTCCTTATAATAATGTTGACAGCAGCTCTTGGGCCAAGAGGAACATTTTGAGCAGGGCCAAATGAAGAATGAAAGCTGACTCTCTGTAAATTCACCTGTATAGACCAAACTTAGAAGAAAAAAAGGTGACGCATGGGAGGAAGGACGATCGTGTGAACCATCAAAAGATACAAACAGAGGCAAGAAATATCCCTGCCCGCCTAATCAGCAACCGCCTCTAAATGATTGGGCCCTGCCGTTCTCAGTAGAAAGTTGCAAACAGGGCCAATCTCAAACTGCGTCAAATTCATGAAACTCAGGTTGAACTTCCAAGGTTTGAAGACTTATTTCACCCTCCAGATCCTCCTCTCGTTCAACATTGTTGTTTACGTCGTTGGGTGACATGATCATTTCAAGACCGGAGTTCTCGCTCTGACATGAGGCGGCTGTGTCCCCCACCTGCTGTTCCTCAGCTGTGTTAGTCGGTCTCACAATCTCTTCACGTTATCTGCAGAATCAACACACGAACGTCGTCCAATGTCCAAGTAAGCGTTTAATGAGAGTCTCCTCTCCGTAACTATGATACGATCCACCGAATCCATTATTTGTTCAACTTCCCTTCGTTAGAAACATTTACAGAACTCCTTGCGATGATGCTGTCCTGCCATTCTACATGCTTGCTTCAAACACTGAACACTACTATGAGTATCTTTCCCTGTTGCTTTCCAAGTAAGCTCTTTCGAATTTAAGATATCACCTCTATCAGCACTTCCTCTGCCTGCACTCCGCGATATCAGGAAACTGCCTGCATTGCCGGGACACGATACTCTGCTACATTTTATTATATGAGCAATTTAGGGTAGAATTGCAGTTACATAGCTTGCAGATAAGTCCAAGTAGTGAACTCTGATTGGTTACCAGTTCTAATTCAGGTACATAAATGAAATCCCTACATGATTGGAACAAATGAGGCTACTCCCCGGTTGAGCAATCAGGGAGAGTGGACTGCAGAATAACTAGCCACGATTCCTCGTTTCGCACTTGACATCGTGTGTACATATATGATTGGTTGCATTGGGCAGTAGGGACAAAGCTGCTTTTAATCTGCCTTTAATCACTTAGTGAATGTCTAAGTTTAATTTTTCCCGCAAGTTTCCAATTAAGAGTTTATCTTCTTTTCGCTGATACCACGAACAAATGTGAGATACCTCCTCAATGAATCCTTAAAAAGTAGGAAACAGATTGGAGGACCGATGGAATCTACAACTTGCGAGGTCCAAATACTTCAGCAGAGGCGTGTCTGAGTCCTGTTCAGAAAACAGAGAATTTTGCACACAGCACGAGCAACACATGGACTGGACAAATTCTAGGAAACAGGTGTTTGATTCCCTTGCTGCTTTCACCACGGAAAGTAGTGTATAAATCAACGCATGATCCCAATTTGCCATGGCTAAACTCACCCTCCCCCTTTGTACCGACGGGGTGACAACTTTCAGCCAGTGGGAAAATTCAGAGAAATGTTCCTCACCGTGCTCTCCTCGATGGCTGGCTGGCTGGCTTGCAACTTGCAACAGCGTAGTCAAGTTTGTCCGTTCTCTAGTCTCGACCACCGCCATTCTCCACGGCAACCACGTCGGTCCTCTGATCTGAAACCATTGTTCGAGAGTTTGTACCGCTGGTCTATGGTCCAAAGTTACATAGCTTTTGGGCAGCGGATGGGCTGATGTGAATAGTATTTTCAGAACAGTTGGTTGCCCTTGGTGGAGAGAAGATAACCAACACGTTAGCGAAGCTAGTCAGTTGAGTATTAAGGGCATAGTTGAGCATCACGCCAATGCATCCGAGACCACCTCTTTATTCATGCCCCAGTGTCTGATTTATCATTTACAAATAAAATATATTCAGGAAAATGTTTACACAATTTTGGGTTCAATACCGGTAAATTTTGAAGTGCCCAATTCAGATTCGAAGGTTATAGGACATATCCAACTCGTATGACACAACATCTTAATCACTCTCCATCGTTTTATTTAGCATGGACTAGTCAAACATGTGTGGACAACACCCAAAAAATATTAGACAGTAAGATATTCCTAAATGGCTCTTACACGGCAGATCCAATTTTTAATTTTAATGATCCAAATTTTCCCATCACCTCTCGGATTTAAAGTAAACTACTATTGATATGATATGTGTCGGGACTCATCTAAGATGTGCAAATAAGGGTGTGTTCAAACATACCCCACATCCCATCTAATGTCACTCTTTGATTCACTCTCCTTCATGTGGTTGACTACGAATTACGATACATAGATTTCTGAACTCAAAGATAACAGTACTGGTTCATATCCCTAAGTGAATCCTACATAGCATCAAGCAATTAGTGTTGGCCACCATTTTTTACTTTAGATATCAACTTAGTTTCTCATGTCCAAAGTACAATCCAACTACCTTCGTACTAGAACGTTGATAGCCAGAAAGTTTTCTTGATTTTTTGCAAACACATTTTAAATACCCTAGCCTAGCACATGGCACCCTAAGATCTCGACTTTTCTTGTTCTCGGATCATGTGTAAAAACCCCGTACAAGTACTAAGTTTATCTATTCAAAGGTAGATCAGAACAATGGCTACTTGGCAATGTGGAAAGCGATTAAGAGCAGTATGTGAATCCTCTAATTAGAGTAGCTTTGATCAACCATTTATCATCTATAGCAAAAGTGCACATCACAAATATTTTTTAAAATAATTTCAATGATTAATTACTAATTCATCTCATTATATACGTATAACGAAAACTTAAGAATCCATCGAACAATGAAATGTGAATTATAATCAGATTCATTCAATTTTTACATGTCCAAATCTATGCCGATTATATATACCTGAACCTTTTTCAACACCTTATATTGTGAAGCAAGGAAGTCAAGGTGTACATGATGAAGTTGTAAATCCCGATATGTATATCCTTCATGCATAACGATTAGGAGTTATCTGCGTGCAATCAAACGGAAAATGTAATATGTTTCAAACCCTTAAAATCAAGTCAACTTCATGGAATAGATTATTTATGATTATAAAGATAGTGTAGGATGGAATTTTATAATGATACATATTTATTTCATTATTAATATTTTGATCATTGTGTTGAGAACATCATCTGTAATAAACTCTCTTTTTAGATTTATATAAATCGATAAATATATACGTTCAAGCATGGTTTAGGGGATTTAGTGCACTTTGTAGATCATTTGGTTTGTCAAAAGACATAAGACCACAAAAAGTTGAATTTAAATTGGTCTTAATGAAATAGTTTTCAAACTTGAAATTTGAAATCAACCCTTTGAAAAAAAATTACTAGGTTATGAACATAAATTTATTGACTAGAATTTATACTATGATAATGATCAAAGTAAAAACTTGAATGTATCAACAATGTAGAAGATGTGTTGTTATGAACTCAAAATTATTGATAGATAATTTGTATACTTAAATATTTGACGTAAGAAAAATTCTTGACAATTCAAAAATATTATCTTAATTTCATGATCAGGCATAAATTTGATACATTTTTTTATCTTATTAGATTATAAAAAAAATTTAACTTTTTTATATATTAACCAATCATGCATATAATTACCGTTAAATTATCTGAAAATAATTTTTAATAAAAAATATTTTATATAATTATTTTTGATTCTTATGTGAAAAAATAAGCGTAAATTTTTGATTTAAAATTTGTAAATTTATCTTAATATTACACATGATGTTACAGTAAAATTGGAAAACAAAAACCATGTTATATTATGTATGAAATCACGTATACATCTATGAAACAGTAAGCTAAGTGCCAATCAAATCTTTTCATAAAATAGATTAGTAAAACATGAGGTTATAATTGAATAGCAATATAAGAGAACCAACATAAGCTTCTTGTCACACAAAAAAAATAATTTACATAAAAAATACCGTTTGTTGTACTAAAGAATTACATGTGTTATAAGGACAAAACTTCGTTGAGATGAATCAAATATTACTTGTGTCGACTCTGTTAACCATGTTAGTCATTGTGAACATCAATTTTACTTACTCCATTATGATAAATCAATTCACAAGGATGTTGTTTTATCTTCTGCATAACATCTGTTAATATGATTATCATGTGCACATCCCAAGTGAAATAGTCATCAAGTTAAGAACAACAAGAAAACCTATACAATATGTAGGAATTTTCAAATAACTGTGAAAATCGGACAAATAACATTCACTAGTCTTAGTGTATACTACTATCTCGAATTGTTGAATTTAATATGACGTAAGCTCATTGAGAGTTGGTAATTCACTCTGGCTGGTGGACAAAGTATTGCATCCCGACTCTAAACTCATTTCGTTGTCTAACTCTCGCTCCGAGCATAGGCTTAGTTACATTTTACCCCCTGGTTTCACGCGTATAACAATTAGGGGGGTTTTCTAATCTCGTCGCTACATTACTCCCCTCTCGGTCATTCTCTTGACAACCTCCGAAGAGATAATCTGCGGGCAAATCAGAACACAGTTGGTTCCTGGTTGGGCCTTCGGGTTTTTGGGGTACCCGACCCGCTTCGGAGAAGCGTACGCTGCCTCAAAGCTAAGGACCGGAACTCATCGCCGCGGGCAATTGCAATCATCATCGACCTTGTGGATTAACGACGGCTGGCTTCGGATGTTCCCTAAGATAGGGGCCCAATGGGACTCGGAATAGAGATCCTTGTTTTCGATCCGGCCCTGGAAGCGTGGAGTTCACCGGGCACAGACGGTCGACACCTGGCTGAGCAATTTCGTCACCGTTAACATCTCGCGCTCACACGTTGCGCTGCGCCGTCTATTACCGGTGAAAAGCACGCCCTTGTCGTGTCTGGTTTTCTTTTCCCTATGCGGAGGAGAACTTACCCAGTGTCCTACAGTTTCTCCTCTTGTGTCTAACCGCCGGATCAGCCAGGGACCCACGGTGGTCGCAACTCTACCACCGTGTTACCTTCTGCAATCCAGGATTTCCTTGTGGCGTTCGGGGACTTACTCGTACATAGAGACTCCGTTTCCAAGAGACGGAGAATGTTCATCATCTTATCCAGCTTTCGGAAGTTAATTTATATGATTTTTTTAAACTCTAGTGGATGTCGATGTGATTAAACGCAGTAAAGCAAAGAATGGAACAAATGTGTACGGGATGGGACAAAATGCAAGGTGAAGTGACGAACAACATGTGAGATGCGTTGAAAGAACCAAATGTATGAGATGTAGGAATGGAAGGGAGATGGAAAATCTTACAGGCGAGATGGAGATGGATGGAACAAAACAGGCGATGGAGCTTCAGAAGCAACCGCGGGAAGGCATTCTTTTGGTCGACCATTTTTTGCCACCAGCTACCATCTTCGAGAATTAGCATGGGACTATGATCTGAGCAACGTTAATTGTGCCATCCAGTTCAATTCTATGGATGAAAATGGTACAAGCAATGTCACGCAATTTAAAGCACCTTGGTTGCTCTATATGAATATAGGTATTCTTAAGGGTTAGCTTGGATTTACTCTGCGTGGGCAAAACGTGTACCTGCACAAAATTGTCAGCTATAAGTTGACGCAAGCCCCCAGGTTTTTCTTATTCGTCGCATAGAAAACCTTTCCAATTTAATGAGTTGAGATGGAAACTGCGCCTAGTCCCCTGATTGCAGTGTTGAGTACAAGAAAATCACGAGGCTAAGTGATCCGCGAAAAGCATGCACTAAAAGTAAGAAAACTCTAAGATTGCACCCCAAAGACATGAAGAGTACACTCCAAGGACCAAGACCTTTCAACCTCTCGGAGAGCGACAGGATGACCCTGTATAGTGTCGAGGGTTATTTTGTAGCCCGAAATACAAAATAGTTGACTTCAACTCATCGTCATGAAAATTTTAACACTTTCAGCCTTACTGTTTGACTTGAATCTCTGAATTGTCGTCAAACATTACATATTCCAGTCACATACTCGGAACACTCAAGCTACTACCTATCCATTTATTCTCACTGCAAGTCCGAGCGTACAAAGAAATCAAGACGTGGCGCACGAGCTTACGTCTTCCGTAATGAGAAACATTGTCGTCCGAACGTAATCCGAAACTGCTTAACTTACCACAAAACTCTGTGGCTGATTTGTTCGTCGATGAGAAGGAAAGCCCTCAACGTAGGAGACTGCGCCTGGAATGTAGGACATATCTTGCTTCACTCAATATCACATGCAGTTCATCTGACTGAAAATCGCCGGGCACGAGCGTCGCGCTTGATACGACGGGAACCAACAAAATGACAAGGCGAACCAGATGCCGTGAGAGACGAGGCCTAATTGCCAGGCCGGAAAATATCATTTGGATGCGAACTCCTTCAAAAGGTCATTCGGCTTTGCAGAAAAAGCAATCGAGGTCTGGTGTACGCGAAGAGAATGGTTCGAAGACTCCTCTGCCATCTCGAGACAGCATCACGCTAAACGGGCCAAGCAGGCCAACGATGACGCGACTCCACTTTCCGGTCCAGGATGGCAAACGCAGGACCAACCGGGACACACGCCCATGACATGGACGTCCTAGAAGGTTCGAAAGCGGTAGATGAACTTTCCACGCCGGACAGCTTACGTGGACCAGGAGCGGGAGACGGCAAGGGTGACCCTTGGGATAGAGTAGAAGCTCTGAGAATGGATTGCGGGGTCCTACAGGGACCCACTACCTGCTGTCCGACACCTGTATATCAGATTCCCACGTCACCCGCTCGTGATAGTCTCTGTCCACATCAGTCCCTGCGTCCCGCCCTGGCTCACAACCAAAAGGTTGTTCCGTATGCCCGCTCCTTCTCGGAGGGCAACGGGGCAGAAAGAACGCCACGGCTTGTTTCTCAGTTCAGTGCATTCTTCGAACTCTGCCACTTTCGCATCCGTCTGCAATCTTTTAACCGCAAACTACGAAGGTTTGGAGTTTATACGACAGAAATGAAATCACAAGGACTTCGAATTTCGTTGGGAACCGTCCGATCATCGATCTATTCTGAGTCCCTGGTCACGGTGAGAATTGGGGTGATACCTCTCAGATGTTGGGGGCCACCACAACAAGTACGTTCGTTTTGATGGTGTGATCATGATGACACGATAACTCCAGCAGTTTAAGCTTATCTCTCACAGTAACAAATGCGGATCCACGAATTCAACCTCGCGCACCTACGCATGACCATAGCAGTAGCGACGGGTTGGGGAGGTCGACGATCATGGATGCCTTCTCTGCCTGCGCCAGTTTTGAGCTATGTACAGCCAAATAAGCACCAAAAACTCGTAGTTTAAAGGGTCTGCGAGGCCACGACGATGCATGAGAGTTGAGAGGAGGACGATGGTGAGGTCTTTAGCCAGAACATGATCCACAAGGAACCTTGTCATCTTCTCTTACAGTGCCAGACCCCTTTGGGTATAGGCCCCTAAGGTCTCACCTATCATGTGCATGCATCAACATCACAACCACATGATCCCTTACATCATGGTGAATTGCATGACAAGTGATGGGTCTTTCGATCCATTATGTTAATTTACTGTGTCCCCCGTAGTGGGACACAGCGGAATATTGAAATGATAATACTTCCCTTCTCTCGAGGGATTCGAGTGAAGGGGAGAGAGTAGAGTAGGTTAACATGATTAGCCTAGTTCTTCACCCTAATAAGATTATACTTCTGATAAATAGACCCGCAAATAAATCAAAATCTTTCATTGGTTTTGATTTGCTAACATTGTAGTATTGAAGACATTTTATTTTGTACATTTTTTATGTTAGAGTTTTTTAATTTGATTTGCTAACATTGTAGTATTAAATACATTTTATTTTGTACATTTTTATGTTAGAGGTTTTAAATTTGATTTCATCCAGTATCTTACTTTTTATCTGAACCTGATTGAATAATTACACAAACTGTAATATAGTGTTAGGCATGTATTGAGATTTTCAAGTTTTGAAACCTTATCTCTTTGATATTGTATATTCATGTTTTCAATCTTCTATTTCCATGAAGACCATCCACTTGACAGAATCACTTCGAAAGGTGTACCACACAACTTTTGAGCCCTGTAGACCGGATTATATAATAGTAGATTACTGAAGAACAATGTCTTATACTAATGAAGATATGAATAAATAAATAAATATATAGAGGTTGTGGTCTCTTTTGAACATTACTTTTCATCTTAGGCTTACAAATATTTTTATAATATTGAAAATTCATTAAAAATTATTCTTTAATAAATATTAAAAATACGCCATATCAACACTACAATCAGAAAACTTTTTTGAATAGATTTTTCCATATGTAATTTTTTTTAGATCCAGCTAAAAAGTATATATATATATATATATACATATCAATCTTAATCTTATTTCATAAAAGTACAAGACTCTATTTGATGATAATTTCGAAACATTGATCCTTGAATTATGTGATAAGATGTTTTACATATGGAGAGCATGAGACGATAATTTGCAGGCCATTAAATTGTGGTCAATGGAGCCCAAGCCCGTCAGTCAGTCACTTGGTTAAATGCCATCAACAATATGAAGTAAGAATATTCGAACCATTTATTCTATACATTAAGTTAAGGCTACGAATGCAGAGGACGCCATAACACCTCATAAATATTCATCCCAACATCGCATATCTTCGACTTTGCTTCTGAAACCTAGAAAGTGATGTTCGCAATGTAGGAGGAGCTGGGCCTAAAAGAAGGAAAATAAATTCCACCTCTATTGTTCCATATGTAGGTTTACGAATCAGCATAATGTTAAGTTGTCATCCATGTTTCACACGATTTATCGCCATCTAACTAACTATACACACGTTCACATCATGTTACTGAGATATAACTCGCACAGTTTTTCCTTTCTGTGTATTTCTCTCTCTCTCTCTCTCTTTGTGGATATATGGTGATGGCAAGAATATGTATTCATCTTCTGTAGAATTCCATACGATTTGAGCTAGAGGGCCGTGTCCCATTCAAAAGCCACCAGCTTCTTCCATGAGGATAGTATACATGTTTCATCATGACTTGTGCGAGAAAACTTTGACCTGCACCCTATCCTCTAGATCATCTACTTCTCATGTCCTTTGGAATTTACTACTTTCCCCTCAAACTTGCAACTCGGAGGAATTAACTTTCCCTCGAAAAACGTTTCATGTGCAGGCTTCAATGTTCTTTCAGATCTTGCGCACGCCATAGGCGGGCGCAAGATCTCAAGGCGGGCGAAAATATACATTCCTCTTGATTGAACCACCACGTTGTTGAGAAGTTCTATGATTTGTCTATGACAGGTTCTAACCGGATGAGGGATTTTGACACTTGGTCTCGCTCTTCTTCACTGTGAAGACGACAATGATATACGGCACGAGGCTAGTTTGAGTTGGAGAAGTGTAACTTAAGACAAACCGGTGGAACTTCGCATCATGACCTACTTTTGAGCATTCGTCATGTCCTTCATTGGTTGAAAGAGAAGAATAATACTTCCCCGAGGCGTTCTAATTGGCTGTAGCTTTTTTGTTACTCTAGAGATAGGCTACCCTGGCTCACATCCCCAAAAGTGCCAAAAAGCGAGTGAAAATTCCTTTACCCATCCCTAGCTGAACACAATCTACAATCAGTTCACTGAAAAGCATGTACCTGCAAAAGTATGAACTCCCTTTGATTTAAGAACCAATCTAAAGCCTAGTGTACACCGCCCTACAGATTGCCTGGTCGGTGATGGACTCGGATTCAGAGGATTGGACTTCTCAAGCATTTGCACCTTCAAGATTTTTGTGGTGGTAGAGGATTCCTTCTTCGCAAGAAAGTAAGCAGCACCAATTGGAAACAGAAAAGAACCTGGAAGAATATGCCCTCACGCGCACTAGTTACTCTCCGCGGGTAGTGTACCACGTCTCGCTGTGGCTTGTTCGAGTCTTGTAAACTGCTATATATCAGTACAAAGACGAAAAGAGAATTTTTCCCAGATCCCCTTCTCCACACCATTACCCCGACCCACGCCCCGCCCTCCGGTAGCAAAAAGGGATAAAATTTCTATCTGAACTTGTAGAATGGAGTACAAAAAAAAGGCCAACCAATAACGTAACGAATCTCACATGAAATAAAATTTAATATAATTAATCTCTCTCACGATAAGCCAATACAATACCAAGTGCACTTTCAATATTTTGAGCAGACCAAACCTTTGTTTGAATGGTAATGGAAGGAACTCAACAAGCATCCCTTATTTATGCAGTTTCTTTCTCCATGATACAGGCCAATGTATGCTGTAACTGTCTCAATTCAAAGTCTTAATTATTGTTCAAAAATAGGATGAATGGACTTCAAGTCTACATCATGGTTAAGACGTCAACTTTGCAAATAAAACAGTTTAAGACATGTTATGCACTAATTCATCTCCAAGGCTACTGAAAGAAAGATGTGATCCTATTTTCAATGCTATAATTCTGGATTCAGTATCGGTAGACTTAGAAGTGAGTTTACACCGGGACTCTCCATAGACTATTGTCATTGTCTGTTTCACTGGTAAAAACAACAGATGTGGTGGCATCATGGATGTTTAGCCAACAGTTTCAAACGAGGATCTTCATTTCAAATCATGCCACGTACAACCTTCTCCACTTTTTAATAGAGGTCCAGACTTCCTATGTACATGCTCCCCCCATTTCATTTTCATTGTCTTTCAGACCCGGCATGGGTCAGTAACGCTGCCCTTCTACAAGCAGCGTTCTGTCTAGAGTATAGGTTTTTCACTAGAGTATTGGTTTTCCACATTGTGTGGCATGTAATGAAGCCGGAGCCAGGAACGGTTGAATGAAAAAAAGGAGAAATCTTGATAGATACGGATAAAATTACTCTTTTGATCAATTGAAATTTCCACTATCTATTCTGATCTTCTTTTCTTGTAAGTTGTGGACGCTGTTACAATTGGATGATACGAAGAAACTTGACAAATTATAGTTCTATGACACTCAATCGTATTTGACGTTTACAATGTGTAAGACCTCTTCGTTACGCTTGATGCATGATATTGAACTGCCGATCAAATTTTAACCCAGTAAGATCTGTTCTTTAAAACACACTCAGACGAGGACTAGCTTTGTGGTCCAAATCAGCGTCGACTGCGGCTTCAACGCCACATCTCTACGTCATTATTACTGTACAGCACAAGATGTAGGTCGGCCCGATGAGAAGGAAGAAAACGAGGTCACAGAAGTGGAAAATATTAATGGGAGGCCCTATAACTAGCCCATTTAACCTCCTAGGAACTAACATGAGGTGATCGTTGGGTAGCGGTATGAACAACTTATGCACCCTTCAAATGCAGCCCGAAAATTTGATGGTCTGTATACCGTTCTTGCAGCAATTTCTGTTCAGACTCAAAATATTTCACATGAAACCGGGAGTGTATTTGATACATATTCTCAACTGCCGTCCACTTTTTGATGTGTCTGTATCGAACCACGTAAGTACTTACTCAAGGAGGTGGAGAAAGAGCGCATCGGGATTGGCTTACAAGCCATTTACAAGGCCCGGTTGAGAAGAGACTGGGCTCCGGACTGGGGCTGGTGTCGACGCAGCGCAGTCGGTAACTTGTCGTGTCTCGTGGTCGGTGAGTCTGCGATTTGGCCACGACCACAACACCATCGTCATCCTCGACGTGACTGGAACCCGTGCAGCAACCCTCCTTCACGGAGTCCGACCATCGACGGATACAAGAAGAACTTCCAGCGGGCCGCAAGCCATGTCCGGGAATGGCGCCGTGTTGTGCATGACCGTCCCGATAATCGCCTGATTTATTTCACATGTCCCATTTACCACCGCCGCCGCCGAAGGTTCGATCAGTGAATGAGAGAGAGAGAGAGGTGCCATCTGCCAAAGACATAGCTGAATATACAGAATCCATTGCAGTAGTGGGTGAGGCTGCTGCTAGAGGAAGCACTGTATTCCAAGTGTGGCCTCACTCGCATAATGTGATTCACTTGGCTACATTGAGATTTTTGGTGCTATGCAGGTTCCGCGCATGGAGCCAGATGAAATTGCCAGACTGATTTTTGTGTGGGGCCTTAGGAAGAGCTGTGGCGGTGTGGAATCCATCTACGGACACTTCCGGCGTCAGTAGTATCTGAAAAGTACAGCGAACATCCGTCAAGATCAGCATACACTTAATGTGAAATGCTGCACCGAGCGATAGCGTAAACTTGCAGTATGCATACTCACTGCACGTGGGTATAAATTTATGTACGTAAGGACGTCTGATGAACTATTTTTCAGTCCATTATATGGCAATTATTTGAACTATGCATGTTTCTGATCAGACTGCGCTGTAATATAATAAAAAATCTTGGTGAGTTGGATTATATATCCATAATTCTCTCGTAAGGTGTCTTACGGGAAAATCAGTTACAGGATCCTGATTCGGTACCCGTAAAGTTTAATGCTCTATACCATTCGCGGTGTGTTTGGCAGCTATAGGCTTGTTTTCTCAAATTTGGATTGTGATACAAAGACAAAAATACCCTATAAATTTGTAATACTTGTGGATTGACCTGCCTACTTCGGCGGAAAAAGCCTCTGGGAATGGGTTTCAAGGTTGAAACCCCACTAGAACTTGAGTAGCCCAAGTTTTTTACTATGTAGAGTGACTACACACTTATGGAGGTTGCACCTCGCCAGAAACCCCGTAAGAACTCGAGTGACCCAAGTTTTTTATTGTGTAGAGTGACTACACACTTATGGAGGTTGCACCTCGCCAGAAACCCCGTATGAACTCGAGTGACCCAAGTTTTTTACTGTGTAGAGTGACTACACACTTATGGAGGTTGCACCTCACCAGAAACCCAGTAAGAAATCGAGTAACCCAATTTTTTCACTATGTAGAGTGCCTACACACTTATGGAGGTTGCACCTCACCAGAAACCCAATAAGAAATCGAGTACAGTAACCCAATGTTTTCACTACGTAGAGTGCCTACACACCTATGAATGTTGCACCTCACCAGAAACCCAATAAGATATCGAGTAACCCAATGTTTTCACTATGTAGAGTGCCTACACACTAATGGAGGTTGCACCTCACCTGAAACGGGTTGCTTGATGTGCACGCGGTGGTAACTCTTTGTTTCTCCGCGGACCTGTTGTGCCGTCAACACCATCCAGCCGCGCTACGAGCTACCGTCTATTCGACCATTGCCTGCAAAGGTCAGAACCTTGCAAGGGACTGGACCCGGTGACACACGACTTCAAAACACCAGAAATTTAACCGAAGAGCCCGGTGCACGGAGATTTACGTCCGCGCACCTCAAACGAGCTCGTTTTACGTTCACACTCATACTTCTCGAAACAGAATTCCTCATATAATATTTGGAGGAGACCGGATTAGCCGGTAACCGGTGATGCTCGAGGGCAAGTAGCCAGGCTAGCACGTCGACTTTCTCCAACGCTGCCCGGGGCCTTGGGTTCCAACGTCGTGGTTCTGGGCGATGGTCGGTCGGATGAAAGTAGACTTACCGGGCGTACATCCGATTTCACGCGCTCAGTCTCTCACTGTTCGTCTCTGACTGCTCGTCAGCTCGTCGGGGGCCTGCGCATAAAAGTCTGGGAGTGTGCAGCGCTCTGCATCCAGTGTTCATCCGTTCGAGCCATACAGAGGTGGGGGTCGGCCACCACTGTTAGAACATAGGAAGGCTGGGTCCCGAGGAGCCTGCAGGGGACGAAGCGGCCCCCTTCCTTAAGGCTTGCCAAGAGCTGGCGCATAAGTAGTGAAGATTTGGGGTACTATCGGTCCTGTAGCTGACATTCATTCATCGATGAGAAAACGCAGCTCGCTACTGAACCAGTTTGGTTTATAGAGTGCAGAACTTTTAGAAAAGAAACTGGCAGTATCGGCAGGTTGGAACAATGGGAAAATCTAGCGTGAGAACCCCGTTGCTGAATGCGGACCTCGAGGCTCAAACTCCCCGGGCCGGAGCCGCGAGAGAGAAAGGGAAGGCAGCTAATGCAACAGCGGACTATGTGTCTCTGCCTGGTGCAGCATCGATCGTGAGTCGGTCCCAAGGGCCGACTCTTCCAGGGCCAAGAGCGCCAGCACCAGCACCAGCACCAGGTCCTGCAGAGACGTCATCGGCGGCACCCAAGAACAACTCAGCTTCATTGAGCACGCTGTTGATGATCGCCGTTTGCTGTATCGCCACAGTCATATATCTAAGCGCTCCTTTCGTCGCTGAACCTTACGACGGCAACAATCCCTCACAGGATGACGCAAAGAATGCTTTCTACAAAGCATCTCGCACTGGCTACCACTTCCAACCAGAAAAAAACTTCATGAATGGTGAGAGCCGAATCGTAATCTCTGCATTCTGTGCTAGAGTGATTTTATTCTGCTATCGTAATTCTTCCCCTTGAGGTTCCGTTTCATCTGGCGCATGTTTTTCGAGCGACCACAGATCACCTTGTTTGAGCTCCACGAGAATATTCAGCTTTTGGCATATTGAGCACTTAAAACGTTCATCGAGGAATTTCTCGAATCTGAGAGGTGGAGGAGGCATACCGATGGGATTTCTCTCTGAAAGTTATCTTTGGAGGTCAATTGCCCACTTATTTCGAATTCGAAGTTTAGATTCCCACATTGTGCTAACAATTGTCTGTCATCGTGGCTCATGTGCATGACTGGATCTGATGGCCTCCTCTTCTATCGATGCAGATCCTAATGGTGAGTTGCCCTTCTCGTTTCAATCAAAGTTTCCTTCGTATCTCGTAGTATACCCGTTTGTCAGCAGCAGCCTGCAAAGGGCTGGATCAGGGGATCTGTGTTTGTCGACTTCCCAATCCCTACTCGGATACGTGGCAAGGGTTGTTGAGCTTTCGACACACAGACCACCAAACATTCTCCTGGTCTGTCAAGCAGTGCACCAATCCCTTCCATGATCGATGCGCAAGTGTCGGTTCTGTCGAACCGACTATGTCGCGGATTTACCACCACTCGTGTCCGCGTGTCCTTCCCATCACGTCTGTCCTGATTTTGCTGCGTCGAGAAGCTGTCTGTGACATGTCTGTTGAAACGTGTGTGGGGATTGCAGGACCGATGTATTACAAGGGCTACTACCACATCTTCTATCAGTACAATCCGAAGGGAGCAGTGTGGGGGAACATCTGCTGGGGCCACGCTGTGTCGACCGACCTGGTGCACTGGCAGTACCTGGAGCTGGCCCTGGTGCCAGATCAGTGGTACGACATCGAGGGAGTGTGGTCCGGCTCGGCAACCATTCTCGAGGACGGGACGCCGGCTATAATGTACACGGGCTCACGCAATGGACAGCACCAGTCGCAGAGCATGGCCATCCCAGTGGATCCTTCCGACCCACTGCTCCGCAAGTGGAAAAAAGTGCCAGAAAACCCACTGCTGCTCAATCCGACCGGAATCAGCCCTCACGACTTCAGAGATCCCACCACCGCGTGGCTCGAGTCCGACGGCCTGTGGAGGATCACCATCGGAGCGAAAGTGGAAAAAACCGGAATCGCCTTGCTTTACACCAGCCGAGACTTCAGGCACTGGGAACTGCAGGATACTTGGCTCCACCACGTCAATGCCACGGGCATGTGGGAGTGCGTCGATTTCTACCCCGTCTTGGAGGAAGGCAAGCTCGGAGTCGACCACTCGATTCTGTTGGGCCCCAAGAGCGAGCAGCTCAACGCTGAGCTCGGCGGAGAACAGCCCCCCTTCTCGGACACCTTCAAGTACGTGTTCAAGGTCAGTCTGGACGACACGAGGCACGACCACTACGCCATCGGCAATTACTCCACGGCTACTCACAAGTTCGTCACGGACCGTCCCGGCATTGGACCCCGATACGACTACGGCAAATTCTACGCGTCCAAGACCTTCTACGACTCCAAGACTTCGAGGCGTATTCTTTGGGGCTGGGCCAACGAATCTGACAGCGAGCAAGACGATATCACCAAAGGATGGGCCTCCGTTCAGGTGAATTTGCTTTGCTAACTCCATCTTTTGCGTCTGCCTCGTCCTTCGCGCATTTCTTTCGGGCATCGTCTTGTTCGAATCCAGCACCAAGAAATTAAAAGACCCGATCGTGTGAACTGTCCCTCAGGCACTTCCCAGGACCATCTGGTTGGACGCCAAGACCGGATCGAACATTCTTCAGTGGCCAGTCGAGGAGGTGGACCGTCTGAGAGGAGGATTGACTTCCCACGACAGCACCGTGTTGGAACCCAGAGACATTTTCAAAGTGAAGGGAGGAGATGGACCTCAGGTAACCTCGACAGTCTCGTGCCTGGAGTATTCAATTGAGCTCTTTCGATCGGTTCGGCCAATGTCGCTGCGTTGTCCGATAGATTTTCATCAGAATTCCACTGTTGATTAGGTGTTGTGTTATCTCTGCAGTTGGATATTACGGTCGTCTTCCAGAAACCAGACGTGACCACCGTGGATCGCGTCGTCCCCGACGAGGAATTCGATTGTAGCCAAGGAGGATCCGCTCACCGTGGTGTGTTCGGTCCTTTTGGTCTCCTCGTCCTCACGGACGACAATCTGATCGAGCACACTGCTGTGTTCTTCTACATCACGCCAATGAAGAGCGGCGCATGGACCACGAGGGTGTGCAGCGACCAGAGCAGGTGCGTATATGATTATTATATTGCCTCCGCATGAAAGAATATTAGAGAAATTTTAGATGAGTTTTTGGGTCTGTGGATGCTCTCGAGGTTGTCTTCTGTACACGGAGACCATAAGGATGCCGAAGAATTCGTGGTCTCGTGAAAATTATTTTCGACATCTCGACATTTAGACAATAAATTTTAACTGCTGAACCCGTTTGCAGATCCTCTCTGGCACCCAATCTTGACACCACGGTGTATGGTAGCTTCGTCAACATTCTGCCAACGGAAGACACTCTCGAACTGCGTGTTCTGGTGAGTGCAGTCGCCATCCATGGATGTGTGGTACTTGAATTGTTTTGGGTATCAAACATGTTTAGGGCGGGAAATTTGGACGTAGACTGACTGCTCCTGTGTGTGCGAACGTCGTCGCTGAATAGGTGGATCACTCGATCGTGGAAACATTCGTGCAAGGCGGCAGGCTGGCCATCACATCAAGAGTGTATCCTACGCTAGCCATCAATGAGAAATCGAGATTGTTCCTCTTCAACAACGGGACGCGACCCATCACGGTGAAGAGTGTGGACGTCTACCAAATGAGCTCCGTGGCGATGCACGCCATCTGAGGAAGTCCAAACGGAGGGCACACGCCACGCCCTTCACACATCTTCTCCTCCAGCTTCTCCTCCACGACTATGTCACCTTCTGACTCGCAACGACCGATCCACCAGGTGACGGAGACGAGGCCGACTGTAATTTTACCCCATCGCCCGACGCGTATATCGGAAAATTCCGCAGGATCGAGGCTATCTCTCGACCACAAAAGACCAACACAAAACACTAGAGAAGTATACATTATACCTCAAAAGCAAAATGCATAGCTTGAAGCTTGTAGATTCTCCTTTCGCTCACACAGAGACACCAACAGATCGACCATCTAAGCCACCATCGGGTGACTATCGAGGACTATGACGTGGTCACTGACTTGGGTGACCACACTGCGGCAAACATTTCAGAGATCTGTACCCACAGGCTTAGCATCTTATCTTTCATCGTGGGACGGGGGAGGCTGTAGGATTACTAGACAAAGATAAAGAAGCAGCAGCTACCGTAGGAAGACGCAGCAGAGGTTCACCCGCTCACCGAGAATCGAAGCTCTACGCGCTTCGCAGCTCAAGTTGTGTTTTCTAGTCCCGTGGACTAGGAAGGCGTTATACGATACGAATGAGTATCATAGTCGGCTCGCGATAGCTCGCCTGAAGGTGACAAGGAGTCATCACTAGAGATGTGTGGCTGCCACCAGCGGCAGCAGGTGTAATCGGCCTATCATATTCAGAAAAGAAAATGTAATGAAGTCCGGATCATCAAGAGTGATCTCTTGAAGCCATCACTCGTCGTCTCCACTCCTTGTTCTCTAGATTTCTGTTCAAGGCGGTGAGTCGTCGCGTCATCGCAATTTTCTTCTCTGACAGTATCTAGACCCGGATTAAATGCATTGCTTCTGACTCTCGTGCGGGCAGTTAATACTCTTTTCTCATTGCAGATCTCACGCCTTCTCTCCATATATATATATATATATATATATATATATACTCTCCGATATATATATGTATGTAGGAAAAGGTCTTCTTGTTCTTGATGGGGTGCTTGTGATAGTGTGTACTGTATTGGCAGTTGGAGTGAATTTGCTGATAAACTGTGCAGATTTGTCGTGCCCATGGAATTTTGTATCAAACAGCCGGAAGAAGGATATAGAATGATACAGTGAGTGATAGAGCACAAAAGATGGCGAGACCCCATCAAGTCGTACGCGGATGTAAGAAGTGGTTAAGATGGGGCTAGGCTAGTAAGCCGGAAGACATGTCACTTATGGCACTCGGAGCCCCTGGCATTGCCCTCTCCGCACCGAATTTCACGTCATTGAACCGTCGTTCCAGCAAAGCATCGTCCACAGCGTCGGTTGGTCCAGGATTTGAAAGCCCCACTTGCGTCTGGTACCGTACTGGGCTGTCGAGACCGGGAGATGAGGATAGCATAGAGGTGGAGGCACAAATCCATGGAGCACAAATCTCGTACTTTCTGATTAATAGAGTTAGTTACAGGGCACGCCAACAAGAACCGGATTTCACTAAGCCAATGGCATCGCTATCTGATCATTTTTAATAGGTCAATACAGTCGTAGCTGACTTGGTGCTGACTGTAAAAGTCTTGCAATCGGAATTTTGCTCCTGGGCCTTGGGGCCAGAAGGGCTGCTTCATATTGCCAGAACCTATTCTGTACAAGCCAATCATCGCGTTCGCAAAAAGAAAGGAAGGGGTTTGGCGTCTACTGTGAAGTTCACAACTCGACACCTCAGAGTCTGGACTATATTGGTCGCTTTTTACACAGAATCTGGAGATTTCATATAGCAATCAGTCTTTGACGGTTTCTCAATCGAGCCAATCAGATCTTCCGACTTAAACCCAAGAGTGGCCAGTTGACGAGGCGACAACCCTGATCCTGATTCTTGCCATAAATCCAATTGGTCAACGTGGTGAATGTTTGTGTGAGCGGAAAGAGTACGAGCAGCTGCGGGCAGAGCGCGAAACTCCACCAAAAAGCTCCCGATTTTCCGACTTTTGATGATGCTATTTATAGCCGTGCTCAACGATGTCGGTCAGCACATCTCCTGCCCGTGAAAGGATCACGAAATAAGGCATCCGTAACCTAAGATTGGGATTTGGCAGTGGTTGCCATGGCCGAAAGTAACCCTGCTTTCCTCACACGAACATGTGCGCTGTTGAACTTTGATAGGCAATAAAATATGTTAACACTTACAAGAATGATGCACAAGTGTTACTACAACTACGCTAGAAATGTATTCCCTTTTACCAATTACCCAATTGTAGATTTCCTTAGGATGAAGCACTCGGTTTATCTGCGGTATGATGTTATTGTTCGATTCGGTCATTACATCTCATTCTCAAAGATTAATAAGACCGGCTGCTTAACGGATGTGCTTTCGACTAGAAATTTATGGGTTCATTACATTCTTAATAGAAATTGAAATAGGTTCAAGTGTTCATGAATTTTTTAATATTATATCTTATTTTATTTATTTATTTATTTGTTAACTTCTTCCTGTGATCAATTTCCAGATTCCAGAGACGGTACACGTTAAAATCAACAAATCGAACGACAGCTACTACGGTAGTTAGATAGAAAACTGGCCATCCGCAGTGAGATCTTGCTGCCAATCCCAACTGTATTTATGAGTCTTGTTTAACAAAGATTGATCTTTGATGCACAGATTAGACGCCCGCTGTATGATTTGGGACGAGCTTCTTGTGGAATCATTGTTTGACTCCTTTACATTCACATCTTCTTACAACTCATTTTTTAATTCATGCTTCTTTGTTTGATATGACGTCAACTATCATATCATTGTATAATCTAAAGGGAAAAAAACTACTCTTTATGTTATATATGATCTTATTATTTTGTGCATGTTTTATTGAAAGACTTTTCCAATCTTCTCATAGATACGTTATGCACATCAATATAAGTGCAGTTATGATTAAATTCATTAACTCTAAATATTTCAATTTTACAAACATCAGTGGTATTGTACATTTCATACATTGGCGAACAAATTTCTTAAGTAGAGATAAATCTAAATACAAGTTTTAGGATTAAAAAATAATCCAGAAAAATAATTTAATATCACATGGATATAACTCAAGCATTTTAAATTTTCAATGTTTATTTGATTAAAATTAATGACATCCATTGTGTTCAAATTGTATTCTATCTTGTTCATGACATTCAAATTTTGGCATGAATAAAAATTTTTATATATATATATATATATATATATATTAGCAGGTTTTTCTTACAATACTTTGTCTTCTTCTTTACTTGGTAAATGTAAATGAAATGTTTTCAGCATTTGCAAATATAGAAAATAACAGATGAGATACTTGGATGAATTAGTTTAAAGATCAGATGTAAGAAGAAAACTAAAAAACAATCCGACTATAATCTGCTATAACAAGTGTTTCATTCTAATTTCTGAATCTATTCAATTTTTTTGGTTTTGTATAAATAGATGCATACTTTGTATGAGCAAACTTGATATGATGTAAATAAGTGTATATGTTCAAATAATGTTTTCATAATAATCGCAGTATGATGCTGGACACAAAAATTACACAAAATATCTCTCATTTGAAATATAATGAAAACTCATGAAAGTAAATTGCCTATTTCAAATATATCTACTTGGAATGATTTTTAATTTTTTCAATTTTACCTTTTATTACATTTTAATTTGATGAAGATCATGAAACTGTAAAATTTTTGTAATTAATTTTATTGTAAAATGACAATGTGTGAAATTTAATATGATTATTTTTGGATGAAAACATAAAAATTTAAAATTTTTGGAAATTATTATGCGTGATCTAGGACGTCAAATTATTTATTTGTATATAATAAATTAATAAATGATAAAAATAATTAAAAATGAACATTTATGAGAAGTAGACTAGGAACAAAATTATTGGAAGCTTTTTTTTAATCTTTTGTTTAAAAAGTAGCTATGAATGATTTATCCTTTCTTGAATGTCTTATTATAAATTGATGGAAACATATTGAAAGAAAATTTTTAGTATGAGATGTTCTTGTTTCATCACCTTTTACGTTATTTAATTTGACTATATACAAACCTTTGATATATACATCACAACTAGATAATACTAATAATATAGATTTAAAATAAAGTATGAAATTGATAAGAATAAGAGTATAATCTAGCCATGTAAATTTATGCAATACTGAAATATAAGTGAAATTAATATATAATTATTTTTTTAAGATTCAAATGAATATGTATTTTATCTATAATCCATTATTTGGAGATTTTATTTTATTATAAATTCATAAAAAATTCATAGATTAGAACGATCTTGTTGCAGATGTATTTCTCTGATTGATTGTATAAATATTTACAGATTTAACATAATCTATATTTATCAACCTTAAAAAATTGCACTAAAAAAAACTCATTAGATATGATAAAAAAAATTGTAATTTTTTTTCAGTTGTGTGTGTTTTTTCAATGATTAAAATTTAAATATCAAATATATAATAACAAAGATGATTCAATTTGATCTAATTTGACAAAGTTTAGTCCCAGATAAAATTGTCAGTAAAATAAACTTAAGATTGATGTTTATTTCATAATAATTTTGACCTGTTTAAATTGATTGCTTTACAAAAGTACGTGATTATTCTTTGCATGGAAACTGTTAGTTCAAAACTCAAACTACTGATATTTTTAATACTAAATTGATAATATGAGTGTGTAAACATTGCGATATACATATCGCAATTTCCAAAAATATTACTCAAAAAATATAAATAGATAAATAAATAAATTTTTTCAAGTGATATTCTTCCTGGAATTTATATTTTAAATGATTATAATAATTTTTTATTTAAGATTATATATAAATTTTTTTATACACGTGAAAATATTTTGGAAGTCAATTTAATCAAAATTTTGAGAAAAATCTTAATGAAATCTATGTAAGGAATGTTTTCTGCACTCACAAACAACATATACAAAGGCATCTATGGAACTATTTTAGTCATTTATCATGAAATGTCTTAAGAGAACGATCTGTTTGAATGGTTGATAAAATTTAACATGCATTGCAATATACACCCCCCGTACAAGAGTATATCTTGTGCTGCAAAATTATCAACATCATATTTTACTCGATAAAAAGTAATTGCTACCTAGTTTCATTTATTTTCAGCCCTCGAAGGCTATAAGCATTGGGTTTAGATCGCCTTCTTTGGTATGTACCGGTACGAAAATCTCTAAAGATCATACCGAGCACAGTATTTTCAATTTATAGCCATTTAGAAACTCATCGAAATAATGGTTCATGGATTGACTACATTCTAAATATCTCTTCCTTACACGAGTATGGGTTTTGGGACGGTGAGAGCGAAACGAAGGTAAGGGATGATGTCATATAGAAGAGGGGAGGATGGACAAATCTTTAGGCTCGAACGACGAAGAAAGCTCAAATGCGCTGCTTAGATAGAAGTGAAAGATGAATGAAACTGGCGTCGTGAAATTCACAGAGAGAGAGAGAGAGAGAGAGAGAGAGAGCCAAGGCACACAGCACGGCGTCCCTGTATGACGAGACTTATGACCCTCTAGGATAGAGGAGCGCGACGTTCGAAATTAAATGCACGAGCGCACATCGAGGCCGGCCTCGGAAGCCGGGGACCACTCCCGCTGCTCGGCGCCATTCTGCGCAATGCGTGACCAGAACGACGTCGCACTGTTGCAAGAGGGTCCGGAGCTTGGGATTTTGTAAAATCGCCGATCAAGTATGTTGCCGAAACTGCGCCGGTCTCTCGGGAGCCCGGCCGCTGTCGACCCCGAGCTCAGCCGGTCGTCCAGGGCGAGGAGTGCAAATCATGTACGTATTGTCGTGACGGCTTTTCGGAGGGAAGAGGAATTGGCGAGCTGGTTCGAGAACCCCATGAGGTGTCCAGACGTCTGAGCCCTATGACTGTGGATGGCAGGAAATTTGAGCTGCAGAGTGTCGCATTCTGCCTTCGTTCCATTCTAGTCTTGACTTTCGGTCGAAGTCTGTTGATGATCGATTGGATCAGTCAGGGCGGGAAAGGCAGGCTCTGCTCACTCTCTTCTTTGGTTGCTGCAGACTCATCGAGGACAATGGTGAATGATCGCTTGATCTGAGCACAATGTGTCGGGAAAAAGTGGTCACCGTGGTTATGACTAGCTCCAAAGACTCGTCGGATAAAGCTGTCGAAGCTGTCCGATCCACGAACGATGGGTTTGAGGATGTACGTTCAGTTCTTATTGGTCAAATTGTGTACTTTGCACCGAGAGCATCCTTATGGAATTCATGTCTTTCCAGTCAGTAACAACTGGCCTTTTCGCTTGTCTCCAGGAATCCGACGTGGTACGGGATTCTCTGTATGCTCTTCAAGGTTTGCCGTCTGCCGTGAGGAAGCTAGAACGCCTGGCAAGGTCTTATAATGCAACATCCGCAGATAAAAGTAGTCAAAATTTGACAACCCTGTGGACACGATCTGTTACTGCGACAGCTCTGGGGAAGGTGCTGTCGTTAGTGGTTCGTGCAGGGCATCTGAGGCGTCAATTGGATGCCTTCGTGAACTTTTTCCTTGATGGAAGACATGATGACTGGGGCCACTCTGAAGACAACCCGCGTTGGGAAAGTAAAAGCAAGAAGAAGAAGAAGAAGAAAAAGAAGAAGAATTCATTGAAGAACGGTCCTTCTGATGTAGATAAAGAGGAAAACGGAGGACTGGAAGGTGTTGGCCAAGCAAAATCAGGCAGCGGCACTTCAAATCCTGACGTGTTGTCCTCTCGTTGCCTTGTAAACCAGGCTTTCGCTGCCGCTGTGAAAACTGTTCTCCGCGGGCATTCGGCTGCTCTGAATACGCTAGCTGCGTCAGTCACTTTGCGAAGGCTTCAGGATACTTCAGAACACGGGTTTAGGGCAGCACATTTAAGGGACCAAGACCCAGGTCCTGTTATTGGCTATGGTTGCCGCGATATCACCTTACTAGAATTTTACCTTCACACTAGAGAACTTAGAGTTCAATTGCAGGCGCTGGCATACATTTGTCTCCGGAGGAATGGTAAAACTTTTTCTGGAAATGTAGTAGGAGATGATGATTATTTAGAAAAATGGTCAGAAGCGAAGACGAAAGAAAAACATCATGAAACTGGAAACTCGATTCGTTCTCAGTCAGATCACGCAAGGAGGGATCATACTTCTACGACCAGTTTTGAATATTTTCCAAGGGGAGCAGCTTTATTGACCTACCTATACGAGCAACTGATGGTGAGGGACTAGTGGTTTGTGAAACATGCATAGCAAAGTCATCTCCGTTCATGGATATCTCACTTTCACTATTGCGGTGCATATTCCCTCTGAGAGTGGTCGTAGTTGTCATGCACGCGACACGTTGTAATGCTTGTTCGACTTAAGTATGCACTGAAGATAGACTATCAGAGTGATGACGTTTGTGGTTGTCGTCAGCTGCTAGAAAATTTTCAGGTCCCTTCTAGTTTCAAATTATCTGAGACCTGTTGTTAAGGATCCCAGCTAAATGTTGCATGCGGCATCGATGCATTTTCCGAATGGGGATGTGCTCAGGAATTTGTTGACAACACGATGTGGACCTTGTAAAGCAGGAGGTGGATCCTCTTCATATGGAGCTGTTGAGGTTTCTGTTTGAGCGAGCTTATCAGCCATATTCGGTATTTATCCGTTCCTGGATATACCAGGCTGCTGTCAAAGATCCGTTCTGTGAATTTGTCATTGAGCAAGGTGATTTTAACCGGGGTTCATCCACTATCAACGCCAGGGGAATGAGAAATTTTTCCGTACAACCAACAGACCTAAAAGTAAGGTTTTTACCTAAATATTCTAGAGTATGCATCTACCATCTATATCTCGTTCTGGTTGTTTGTTTAATGAGAAGCGTATTCCTCCAACGCACGCTCTGCTCTACCATCGCACAACGAGTTACTCCGCTGCTGGAGTATTCAATATCAATGCATCCTTAAAGGCCGATAGAGACACAGCTGAGCGTTTGTGAGATGAATAAGAGCTTTTCTTTTCGTTTACCTTCTATGATATCGTGTACTCATGATGATCAAACCTTATTGTAATGGAGATTCGGAAGAAGATTGTGATCAAATTTCTATCGGTAATTATCTGTCCATGTGCAGTTGAGGGAAGGTGTATCTGTACCGCGGTTCTTGGAAGATGTCCGTATCCCTTTGATACGAGCAGGACAGCAATTGCAGGTTCTGATGAAGCTGGCGGAGACCTGTGAGTTAGCACAGCAAATTGGGAAGACCACAAACCCTTCAGAACTGTTCGAAGGTCTAGACATCTCTCCAGACTCACTGGCAGGCGACAGAAAGAACTCAGTTGATTTGCCAGCGCTTGTCTACAGTAAGATGCAGCTTGAAGAAACTGTAAATCAGCGGGAGAACAATAGGAAAGTATTGAATGAGCAGTTCGACAATCTATTCACAGAACTCGCTGCCAGGCGTCTGCAAATGGAGAACAAGTCTCCCTGTTCCAGCGCGGTAAGAGTGCAGTAAACCAATGTTACTCGCTAATGTTGTGTATGTTCAGCATGGACGATGTGCATCTAATCATTCTTTTTCTCGGTTATAGAGTGTCCTCGGCCCCTAGCTCTAACGGTTTTGAGTTGAAGCCACCGACTTTTTTCTACAGTCAGTTCTCACTTAGCAATTTTTAATTGACGTTTCCTTTTTACTTAATATTTTAGAATATTTTCTTCCTTGTTTTTTAGAGATTCTTTTGTCACCACATTACTCTAAATCTTGGAAGTTATATTACTTAGGAGTGGGAGTTCAGTTGACGGTAGGCTACAATGTGCAATCTAGGTTCTGACATTCCCCAATATTTTATTCGCTCCCATCTCTTTCATGAATGCTTTTGTTGATCGTTCATATCCTTGGCAGAACTTCTTACTGATCTTCTGTAAACGTAACTTTGACCATGTATGCCCTAGAGGTTACGGGCGAGCAACAAATTGCAGCTTCCCGTATAGCTGAGTGTTGGGTCTTTGCGTTCACATTCACATTCATGTGTGGCTTTACTCTGAAATGAGGACGTTTCTTAACCAGGATGATCTCTGGGCTTTACTTTCTACGTTCGATTTGTTCTTTCCAGACCCTAAACACTCACTGCTTATAGTATAGTCACTGACTTTCTGCGCAATGCCAACTGAATGCCGAGATTCGATATTCATTTGTTTTGAGTATTAAAGCGCTGGGAGAAATCTTCGGTTAGACAGGTCTATGCTATACAATCCTGGTTAAGAATTTTATGGTTGGTTCTAGAGCACATGCATCTACCTTCTCCGGACAGAAGTTTTACACTCGGCCTTAGGATAAGTAGTTACCTCAAGTATAGATAAGTGTCTTTACACATGCCGCATCATTCTATGTGATATTAACACATACACATTTTACTCCTCCGCAGGCTGACAAACCACCCATCAGTTCAGTAACCACGAACGTAGATGACAAGCAGCTTTCAGCAGACACAGGCTCGGAGTCTCGACAAGAAGCAGCGTCACCCTCGTTAACCATCTTGTAAGCATAGTTCTAGCTCTTGGACATGTATGTTATCGACATCGAGCAACTCAAGGATTTTCATCAGCTTTTGTGGCTACTTTTTGTAATTTGTCCTATTCTAATATGCATCTATTTGGCAGCCCAGGAGGCGAGGAAAATTCAGGGGGTGCTGTAGATGGAAGCACTGGAATATTGAAGAGAACATCAGGAATTGGTGTTGGGGATGAAGAAATAGCTCCAGTAATGGAAAATCATCCCGAATCTTCATCTCCAGATATCATGGGGATAGATATCACGGAGCCCCTTGATTCAACTCTTGAAGAGGTAGTTCCCTCAGAGGAGAAGTCCGCGTGGTATCCAACAAATGGGAACGATGAGTTTAAAGAATTAAGTGCCGTTAAAAATGGTTTTTGTGGCCCCGTGGAGTCAGAACATAAAATGATGGATAAAGTTGAAATCTACGAACCGTTCCAGGTTTCCAACTTTCAGATTTTTGAACCTGCAAAGGTCGCTGGTGTTTCTCAGAGCCCCGAGTCCCAAAAGCTTCACGTTCCATCTCTCATTTCTGATCACCAACGAGGAGCATCTTGGCCGTTGTGGGGGCTTCCAACCAATCCCTTTCTCATGCCTGCGACCGTAAATGACTTTACACCTCATTTTTACGCATACACAAGCTTTGCAGGAACATTTCATCCCTGGGATGTGACCACTAAGCTTTCAAGAGCAGGTCTTAATTCTACACAAACGTCTGCTTTAGAGGAGTCGGCCAGGAAACAGGCAGAGATATCGGTTGAGCCAACATGGTTTACTAGTTTAGAGTTGGCCCTTAAAGACCAACTTTTTGAAGGTCTCAATGCTCACTTACTACTGCTGGAGTGGGACAAAGCTGATCATGTGTCTGAATGTGACTTTGGACCCCTTGATTCGTCAAAGCAGTCGGGTAACGGGTGGAACACCCAGCTGCTTGTGGAGTTGGATGGTAGACTGACTGATCCTCTTAACTTCTCATCTAGTTTGCACTCAGATTCAGAAACTACTGCGGATTTAACATCCCCTTCTGGGTCAAGTTTTTTAGACCAGGATATACTAAAGAAGTCCAGTGAGAAAACGCAATATATAGGTACGTTAGAAAGTAAGGCAAATTCAAATCAAGGATCAGATTCGACTGGCAAAAGGACGTGTAAGATTCAACCGGTCAGTGAATTAAGTGAAGAATCCCCACACGGAGAATTCTCCAAGGACATAGATCTTCTTGGAACATCGATAGAAGAGTCAGAACTCTTGAATCAAGAGCTTGGATCATCAGAAAATGGGGCGGGCTTGGTTGCTTTGGCTAGTGAAGTCAGCGCGCTTCGTCGATCCATAGAGCGTCATCAACAATACGATTTAGAATCTCAAGAAGGGGAAGGAGTGGTTTACGAAGCTTTCAAATGGCAGCAGTATCTACGGTTTTCAGAATCTCCATTCGAGAGTGCGGTTCAACATTGTAGTGATAGTGCTGCTAACCAGGATGTATTGGCTAGTGGCGAAGAGATTCCACTTTCTGTCGTGGTTAGCAAGTGTGTCATCCAGGAGATCCTCTCCCAGTATCCTCTAAATTTAATTGTTTCATGCTTTCGTACACATTGACCTTTGTTGTTGATCTGACTTTGTTGAATGTACATCAATTGTTATGATCTCTTTACTGCGATTTTTTTTTTCAAATTAAAACAACACCTCTTCTAATTGTTCCTCTCGATACTATTTTGTAGTAGTTTGCAATTGCTACCTGAATCTTGTTTAACTTGTTAACCAACGGTTATTAGTAATCTTCATAAAAAGTGCTCTCTCTGCATCATCTCGTGATCCTGCCAAGTTTTTTTTTTCATCAAGAAAGAGTACTGATCTTAACGGCTTGTAGATACGAATCAGTGAGTACACTCACAGTCAGATTGTTTCACGAAGGACTTTGCTTGCAAGATCACTACCACGCATTACGGCGGTACTTTTTTATGGAAAGGGGTGATTGGGCTGATTACTTCATCGCAGCACTTTGCCAAAATGTACATTCATGCTCCAATGGAATTCTTATCACCTCAAATTACTTGGACTCAGAACTTTTCCTTCGACGAAAAAATCTAATGTCATTTGCTTTTGCATTAGCAAGAGTATTGTTGTCACAGGCTGGCAGTATATGAAACTGACAAATGGAGTTATGCTTGGACAGAGGTGGGGTCCGTCTGGACATCAGCTTCGGCAAATGGAGGTACAAGGAATGCTCGAAGCAGCTTTGCAGAAGTCTTCTTGTGAAGGGGAGGAGTATGCAGAAAGGTTGCTTGTCTGTTTTCAGGCACGAGAACCAAGTTCTTCTGCGGCCTCAGCGCAAGGATCTACTAAAATCTCAGTCGCTCCGTTCGTCGATTGCAGCAGTAAGTGCAATCTTTGTGCCGGTTTACATGCAAACTCTCAGTAAATCAAATCATATATCGTATTATGGGAGCTCATCTGTATATTGGCCATGTGAAGTATGGCTACAGGACAAAGAGACTTTTGTTGAATAATCTCAAGTTTTCGCGTCAACTTAAAATCTTGCTCTCTTCTCACCTATGGCTTGCCTTTGCATGCAACGTTTTGATTCAAATAATGTAATCATTCCACGCAGGGCTTGATGCATTCGACTTTATATCGCTGGAGTACCGGATTGATTGGCCTCTTACCTTAGTTCTGACCAGCCACTCTCTTCAGTTGTACAATGTGATCTTTTCCTTCTTGATGCGGATAAAACTTGCGGTGTATGCTCTTGCTGATATCTGGCGTCGGCTTCAGGTACACATCATATCGATTAACCACTCACGTTTGGGATGCCATTGGACTGTTCCATGATTGCCTTGCTGTCGAGTTGCCCGTCTGGAATTTCAAGCCACATTATGTTGACACTGTCCAATAGTAGTTGTTCGGGAGCAATTACTGTTGATTTTGTGCAACCATTGTTTTGGCATCCTGCTCGTATGACAGGAGAATGCCATATGGATGAGGTAGCTGTTTTAAGGAATTCAAGAATAATATTTTACAGTGTCCGTTCTTATGTGGGTGTTAGGCTACGTTGCAATTCAAAACTCGTTGGCTGTTGTACATGTCTTTCCTTTGGGTTGGCTCACTTTCCCGTCTATACTGATTCGCAGGGATTGGATAAGTCTTTTCATAAAGTCAGACATTCTCCCCAGTACCAGCAGCAAAGAAACAGGTTTCGAACTCTTCAACAGCTGAGGTAAGAGCCTTTCAACGTTAATGTTTCGTAACCTTCGTTCTGAAGATTCTTCGTGCGTAGATATGTCATTTACCTTTCGTTTTATGCTCCCAGAACGTGTTGGGACACGAAGACGTCAATCGGATTTCTTGAATGGGTTTTCCCATTTTGTCATGAAGGGTGACTAGCTTTTCATTTTCAACGAAATACGTTTATCGTTTTCGATGCTCACAGGCAACAGATATACCACCTCGTAACGACCGTACAACGCTATGTGGAGTCCAAACTGTTGTATGTCGTCTGGAGCAAATTTCTTCACGATATCCAACTGGAGGTAAGCATCTGCATTCGGCGTTACGAAGTATTCATCCTTGATGAAGAGTTAAATTTTTGGTAAGGAGTGTCGCTTGTTGGAATCGAAGCGAGTTGTGATCGAACACTCTTTAAGTTGTTATCTTACTTTGTTTAAGCTCGTTCATATCACTTCAAATTGAGGCGTACCGTTGAACCTTAAAAATATCATGATGTATGCGTTGAGGCTAAGGAGACTGATATTGTGCATGTTGCGCATCCGAGCTGTGTGTAGGTGAACGATATGCAGGATTTGAACGCTCTGCATTGTGCTTACCTGGAGGGTGCTATAAATGAGTGAGAATATCTGCTCCTTCCAAATGCTGTCAGCAAGATGTCGAAGTTCATCTTTGTCAAGATATAGTTTATCAAGAGTTGTCTTTTTATAAGAAGTATTATAAGATAGTCTTCGTTCTTATTGGAGTTCCATTTCGCAGGTGCTTTCTTTCACCGAATACTCAAGGAGTCAAAGGATGCATCGACACTATTATGCAATGTGTGCTCGACTTTCTGTCGCATTTGAAAGGTGCTTCCAAGAGCGCCGGAGATGATGAGTTGATCGATGATCACCTCTTTGCGCAGGTGATGCTTTCTTAGATTCGCCAACTCTTAACTTGGAGACTGATTGTCAATTTCTGAACGTCCAAATGCACGTATCAAATACATTTCACATCTCATTACCTGGAGGATGTTGTTGATGTTCTTCCAAAAAATCGTAAGACCTGCGAAGTTTAGGGTATGTTGGAGGCTTCAAAGCCGTGTATGTTACGGAAGAATTCGGTGTACTGATGTCAATCTTTCTGATATGTTCCAGGTTTGTCAGGTGAATAAAGTATTCCAGTCCAGTTTGCAGCTGCTGAATATATACCACTTGAAGCAGGAACCCCAGTACCGAACAAATTTAAGTGATCTGTGGATGATCCTTGATTTCAACGGTTTTGTAACAAATGCTTTTTTTTCAGACTAGTTAGGTGTAGTTCTGTATCATGTCAACGTTTTCACGCATGGAAACTGCAAGCTAGAGTCCTTGCAATAGCAACGTTGAGTCTCTTCTCATAAGAGAGTTCGTCAAATCTGAAACTTCTGTCCATAGAACATCTCTCTTCATGTAAAGTATCAAGATTTTAGAAACTACTCATGGTAGCTTTCTGGAGCAGAAGCTAGAAATGAGACCCCGAGCGCTGCTCCTTAGAAGTCCGTAGCACATGTTCGGTTTGCCACAATAGCTTCCCCCTCTGAGTTCTCTTATCTTGTAACATGAGCCCAATTAGATTTGAGTAACTGGTCGATGACTAACCTGTCGCGGTGTTCCAACATAGATTCCAATCTATGTTGTTCATGCAAATTGATAAGTCGTCTACCGGATTTGTAGACATAAGGAAGAAATACATCAGATGCATAGAAGTTTTCTGCTTCTTAATGTGGTCACTGGGCTAATCTGGTGCGGTCATTATCTGTATTTCTCATCTGTAGATAACGTGGAAGAGTTATAACATTTTTCCTGCTTTATCCGCAACTGTGGATTCCAGAGCCCATTCTGCCGAATTCTGCTTCGAATGCGGGCCGAAAGGAGCTGGTCCAAAGTGGTAGCAGGAGAGAGATCTTAGAAAATGTACCAGACTAGCGTTATTAGTCTGAGTGTCTTATGGCTAATCAAACGGGAGTTGCTTCAAGGTAGTAACTAGACACGTCAGGCTATCAACGTTGCATTGGTCCTTCTTCTAAGTCCTTTTGCGGGGATCATTCATATCATTTGGATAATATCCTATTTAAATCACACACGATCATGTCACGATTAGCTTGGCTCTGTACATTAGAGCTGTCTCCCTAGACAGTACCACCATTAGAATCACAACGAAGTAATAAGACAGGACATGCATGACATTGTAAACGGTTGAACATATTGTTGTTCTCTGAAGGTTTTATTGTGGTTTCTGAAGTTTTTGGGAGCATAAAATGTACATATCTTTATGTTCTATCTATAGCCTTACCTCGTGTATGTAGACACAACCTTTCCTCGCTCTCGAGTCAGTGCATGAAGCTCAAAGAGGAAAGTGAAAGTTTCAGGGAATTTTTATCTCTTGTAGCAACCAAGGTATTGGTGATTTACACAAGACTTCTAGAGTTGATCCTCGTGACTTGACGATGGGATTGGAGAAAGGAACAGATGGTTCTGAGATCTATCTATGGTTTCTTTTTGCAATCAGTTTGGTTATTTTATTGAATGTCCTTTTACCGTATCTTGAGTTTAATATTACCAAACAGTTTTGCAGACTGCGATCGAGCTGAAGAAAATGCCTGCCGGATTTCTCGCCGAACTCTAAGGAATCAACCCCAAAGTCATTTGCATCGGTAACCTTAAGACTTTGGAGAAGGGAGCGTAGACCAAAGAAGAGAGATATCACACATGACAAATGGAGGTGTTCACAGAGGGCGGACGCTTTAAGAAATAGAGCATTATAACCGAACAGAAGGCTCAGCAGGGAATCGTATGTCGCACGAACTGTTGCATTCAGCTCATGAGGACACATTCTAAAGACTTACGTGTCCATTGGAGCACCAATGAATTTCTAAAATCGTAAGCACGACATTCGATGGAAACCACATGAAAGAAGTTGAGATCATTTCAGAGCATCGTCGAGCTTCGTTCCCGAAACAATGAGATAATACATCCCCATTCTAATTCTTTCTAGTAATTGGAGTCAATCAAGGAGAAGAGACCAAGGTGGAATGTTGACTATTCACTTCAGGCATCCACCTGACAGTCACACATATTGCCGAGAGATGTATATTGCGACGTAATTTGGGAGAGTAGACACTCCGGATGGAGGGAATGCCCTCACATCAGGAATCAATGATAATGATGTAGGATATGGAGAATTGTAGAGACGTGAATGTGCGACAAACATGGCACATCATCACATATATGGGACAGAGGGAATGTTCAGTAGGAGAGAGAAATATAGTAAACAGTCGCTTGCAGAGAATCAAATATACGACAGAGAGAACATGCAGCTAGAGAGAGAAGTTCAGTTAACGACATACCTCGGGAGATTGGACACTCAGCGTGGAGAGCGTGATGTCAATAAAGTTGTAGCACCGGCGTGTGAGTATACAGTGTGGATGGTATACATTCACATGAATGTATCAAATCAAATATACGACCCATTTCATATAATTTCTAGAGTGGGTGGAAATAATCATGAGTCACAAGTATACTCTCTTTCCTTCTATGCAGGGCTTGTTTGTACTCCCTCAGCTTGCTGAGTTTTCTTCCGGATGGGATAGCCATCTTCCTTTCTACCCATAAGTCGCCGTTTTCACCTGTAAGTTTACAAGAGAGAGAAGCAGACACGTACCATAGCTCCAACATTCTACCATGTACACACCATGCACTTATATCCACACAGACGTCGAGTGGATTAAGTATCTGTCATAAAAAGATTAAAGAAGTCATTCCCATCTTGACAAGGGCGGGTTAGGTAGAATGGGGATAGGGGAAGGAAAGAGGCAGAGGTTCTGCGAGGGCCAAATTTAGAGAATGGTAAGTGAGAAGAAGTCAGACAAGCCATGTTTGGACTGTTGCATGAGACAAGGAAAACACTAGAGGCGTGCTTGTAGCTCGACCGCATACCCGCCTAACGTCAATAATATCTGTCATATCTCTTGAAATTTTCCTCAGTGTGGTGGAACAATGGAGTCTCCACGCTGATGTCTGTCGGTCGTTGTCTGAAGGCATGGCCAGAGCTCAACACAGTTCAACCCCAACTTAGTCTTCGGGCTGCGTTCGAGTGTCACATGCTTTTGCACAGATTTGTCCTGCAAATATTGCATCTCTCGATCACAGACGGTACAGAGAGGTTGCAGTCGATAGAGATTACTGCTCACCAAAAGTCACGAACTTCTTCGGAGAGATAACAAAGCTGCCTCCACCAAGGGCCACCAATCCTTGCAGTAAAGCAACACATCTGTCAAATGAAAACAATTATAGGCACTGTCAATTACAGTAGCCTCCCACTTAAGTTCGCACCAGTTTAGGTGCACATCCCAATTAAGTACGCTCTTTGGCTCAAATCACTCGACTTAATCTTGCTGGTCTCCTTTTGGAAGCGCTACAAACAGAATCACTTCTGCAGTAAATCTTCAAATAGACCCAAAAACAGTAAGATGGAATCTTTTATGCGTGGTACTCAATGAGCCCGTTGATTTAAGTAAAGCCACAAGGTATTTTGCTGGATACATCTCCATTGACTGTTTACCTTTCTAGTGTGTAAGAACAACTTGGACGCAGCTGTTATTGTCATGACTCAATACAGTATAGTAAGCCATGCTATTATTAATGATGTGGTTTGTTCTATGCTGTGCGAGAAAGATTACTGTACTTCACACGAAGTAAGTGCTGCTCAAAATTTTGATGAATGATTCTGTAGAAAATTTAATACTTGATTAGAGAATACTATGTTATTGTCAAAGATGTGCTACGTATCTATAATACGTGTGACACAATTTAGAGGAAGTGATCAACTAAATTTGTGGTTGAACTAAGATAGGTAAAAAGATAATGTCAGAAGTATAAGAGTTGCAAAAGTTGCAAAAGTCATCTTTTGTTTCATCTGTTCTTGGAACTATATGGAACCAAGTACACGACGTAAAATATGAAATCAAGAGAATGTGCTAATGATTGTCGCTCGAAGCGGTATAAAATCAGATATTGAAATTTCTTGTAAAGTATCTTTAACCAGTGATATTCTATTTTACAAATAGGAGGTCAAATACTAGATTCAATGACATAGTTTTGCTGACATCATTCTCATGTATAAATATGAGAATAATATCAGCGGGACTTTATCGGTGGAATACATGATGAGAGGGAGTAAAATATTACTGCTTTCTGGGGGTTTCGTCAATGGGCTTCATTTTCTTTGCTATTCAGTGAGGCCACCCTTGTTTCCAGTGAACATGTCGCCTGGTTCTGACCGAAATGGATCAAGGCTGGCCATCCCTTTGAGAAAGTCGAATCTTGCCCACCACGATAGGTACCGATGCTCTATACCACTATGGGAATCGTCGTACTCGTCGAGTAGTAACAGATGGAAGTGCACTCAGACATGGACGTGGCAAGTCAAAGCTTCGTCTTGCAAATTGAGCGTCGAGCGTTCTAGTGCAACGTACCGACTTCGAATTCTCTCGAAGTCACATCTCCGAAGGTTGCTTTGTGAAATGCAGCAGAGGCGCATTTAGAAACTGCTGGTGTTGTTGTGCACACCAGAATCGATCTGATTCTTCGCCATCACGTGAGCAGTCTCCACTCCTGCCAAGAGTGAATACCGTGTACTGTACAGAGATCCAGCGATATTGACAGTGAGAGGCTTCGAGTTTGTTTGGATTCATCTGATCATTAATGGCAAGTGGTTTCACAAATTCTGTCATTGCAGTAAGTGAATTCCATAATTGTTACAGGGTGTTTTTGTGTGTTGTATCAACGCACGGCAAAGAACTGTCGCTACCAACCCTAATAGTAAATCCAGTTTTAACTGGACCAAGTGCACTGTTCGCACTAAGTGCAGACTATTGGATGTCAACCTTAGTGACAGTCACGTGAATTCAAATTCACTAAATAGACAACAAAGTCGAAGTCATTCGTACATGACACAAGACATAACTGTATTTTCATTGACCAATTTCACTATGCTGCTGAGATGTATGATACATCATATACGCTTTGTCTTTGGCTTCTGATCATATTGAGTTGACGTATCATAAAATTCGTTTTGATCACATAACTATCAACCATGTAATATATAATTGAAAAAATGGGATTGTGGCAGTAGCAACTTTACATCAAGATTCCGCAACTCAATAATGATAATATCAATAATAATAATATATGTATAATTTATAGTACAATTTGTATGTTTTGAGATTTCTATATATCAAAATAAATAAATACCAACAAGTGTGTACCACGAAAAGGACTTGTGATGATGAGATAACAAAATTAAGAGCCATTTAGTATGCGCAGGGGAGTTTTGATCAAACCATAGAGGGACTAAAAAAAGAAAATTGCAAAAGGAGTTTAATGCCGTGGGGGACAAAGTGGGTGGAAATGATTGCAGGTACAAGTACGAAAAACTCACCTCAAATCTTGTAGAGCTTGTAATCTTCAAGTTGGATGATGCATGTAAACTAGTTAAAAACACAGCAGGGAAGGAGATCTCAACACCACCCACTAACACCACATGCCTGTGCACATCTGCTACTGGAAATCCTGTTGATGATGGAGCGAATCGAACCGCCGGTGCAGTAGCAGTGGTATCATCCAACAACTTTCTGAATTAGGAAGTTCATTTCTGAGTCATTGAAGTTCAGGACTGGAGAGGTGGGCTGTCTTTAGGTCGTCTTGCTGCGTAAAGAGGCGAAGGGGAAAAAGTGAAACTACTGTACTGTGCGCTACATGGGAGTTAGAGTATTGCCGAGATTGTAATGCTCAGTGCCGTGAGGTCTACAAATGCCCCAGTGAGCGAAAGCTGCAGAGCCCAAGAGGCAAGGATTACATCCTTGCCTTCGTCACGGTCTAGATTTTTTGCCCTCAATTCATGCAGGTGAGGCCTAGCCGATTCTGTTTCATCCGTAGATCACTTGATTGGATGCTCTTACTGCCACGGGACACCTTTTAGCCATATTACTCCACGTTCTCCACGTTCCCTCTTATCCTTCTTGCCTTCCTATCCGAACGTGAAATCATACGAGAAATCACGTTCGGATAGGAACGTGATTTCTCAGTGACCTCACTCGAGCTTTGGGTCATGCCCAAGCCTTTGTTAACTTGTGATTTGCCAAATTTGTCATATCTCAATCTATCATGGCGTCAGGTCATTTTTTATTTATGATCACAATTTTAATTTAATTGAATTGTTTATAATGTATCATTTACTAGAGTGACAATATC